TGCTTTCTGTTGCATCCCAGTGATACTGACAACATTCAGGTAATAGTGGAATTTTCTTGGAATTAAGTTGCCAAAATGGTTTTAAATCTATGCTTCTAGCAAAATTAAAATATGCATTTTCAACCTGTTGATCTATATGCTCTTTTTACTTGGAAAGAAGTTTATATTTGAGAAATGGTATTTATAAAGCATATGGATAAAAATATATTTAATATATGTGTGTGAATATGCATATGTAAATATATGGAGAGACAGAGAGAGAGAAATTTATGAAAACACTACCTCATAACTGCTTTAAGATAGAAAGGTATTTTGAAAGTGTGTATATATATATATACTTTGGTATGTATCATATGTATATATGTGCATATAAATGTATGTGTATACACATATATATGCACATACATTCATACATATTTACACACATGCATACACACATCCACTTTGAAAATGCCACCTATCAAATAACCTTCCTTCAGAACAGGAAGAGAAATTTCATTCAGAATAACTATAGAATATGTAAAATATTTGATAATCTACCTACCAAGACACACAGAGAAACTATATTAATACAAAACACTGTTTAGAGAAATAAAGACAGGCCTGAGTAATTGGAGAAATATTAATTATCCATGAGTAGGTTGGGCCAACATAATGAAAATGAGAGTACTCCTTAAATTAATTTACTTGATCAGTGCTACACCAAAAATTATTAGTTTATAAACTTTGAAGAACAATAACAAATTTCATTTCAAAGGACATAATGAAAAAAAATGGAAGGATAGAGGCCTAACAGCATCAGAATTTAAAGTATTCAACAAAACTGTAATCACCAAAACTGTTTGGTACTGGTTAAAAAATGAGAGTAGCTAAGTGGTGCAGTGGATAGAGCACTGGGCTTGGAATAGGGAAGATTCATCTTCTTGAGTTCAAATCTGACCTCAGACACTGACCAGCTGTGTGATCCTGGGAAAGTCATTTACCCCTGTTAAGTGTTAGTTTCTCATCTATCAAATGAGCTGGAGAAGGAAATAGTAAATCATCCTAGTATCTTTGCCAAGAAAACCCGAAATGTTTTCACAAAGAGTTGGACGTTACTGAAACAAACAAAAATACAGAGAATGATCAGTAGAACAGATGAGGTATGCAATATACAGAAAGACACAAATGTAGGAGTCCTATGTTCAATAAACCAACAAATGAAAAAGGTCCCTAACTACTAGGATAAGGTTTCACTACTTGACAAAAACTGCTGAGACCAATGGAAAACAATCAGGTAGAAATTAGGTTAAGACCTATACCTCACAAAATAAACCAAAAAAATTCTAAATCGATACATTAAAAATAAATTAATTAGAGGAACATATGCATAATGAATAAAATACTTTTCACAGCTATAATAAGAGGAAAGGCTTAAGAGCAAAGAAGAAAGAATGGACATACTTGATTATGTAACATTAAAAAGTTTCTGTGCAATCACAACCAATACTAGTTAAAATTTTAAAATGAAACAGGTAAGTGGGGGTAAATCTTTGCAACAAGTTTCTCTGATGAAAGTATCATATCCAAGCTATATAAGTAAAATATCCAAACACATAAGAACATAATGGCCAAATGGTCAAAGTATTTGAACAGGCAATTCTGAAAGATTTTCTGAAAGAAAGAAATCCAAACTATCAACAACTATATAAAAATGCTCCAAGTCTTCTCTAAAGATTTATTTATGGGGACAGCAAGGTGGCACGGTGGATAGAGCAGAGACTCTGGAGTCAGAAGGACCTGAGTTCAAATCCAGCTTCAGACTAAACACTTGACACTTACTAGCTGTGTGACCCTGGGCAAGTCACTTAACCCCAACTGCCTAAAAAAAAGATTTCTTTATGATTTCAATTATATGGTCATAGATTTAGAGCTACAAGAGACATTGGAGGTCATCTAGTCTAACTCCCCATTTTAAGTTAGGAATTTGAGGCCCAGAGATGCTGAGTGGCTCGTCAAAAGACACACAGGAAGTAAGCCAAAAAGCCACAAATCTAGGTCAAGTCTTCTGACTCCAAATGAAGCACATTTTGGAATAAAATCCTGGCTTTGTTGTTTAACCACTAGCATCCTTTAGGATTTTTATATGACCTTCTTTTAGGAACAGAACTTTTACTGGAAATATGTCATTTTAATCACCAGCCACAGAAGAAATATGTCCCTATTTTCTTACTGCTTATGCTTCTCTAAAGAATTGATTAATTTTTATAGTGAGAATTGTTACACTTAGTAGCTGCCTTTCTTTTTCCAGGCATTTAAAAGAGAATTCACTAAATATACTGATGGAAATACTACCGGTGGCAGAGTTTCCAACACCAGTGATACACAAGGTCTAGTAAAGCTATTTTCTTAAAAATTGTTTACTAATAATTAGGTGATAGTCAAAATCCAGACAAATATAATGGTTTATATGAAAAATAGAGAAGTAATAGAGAAGATATAAAACCATGTGTAATATTTCTAATAATGTAAAATGCTAGATATATAGATAATGTAGATAGATAAAGCATTTTTAAACCAAGTGCTTATTGTGTGCCAGGCTCTGTACTAAATGCTAGTCATTTTTATCAGTCAAGAGTCAGATCAAGGTATCTGGTCTGAGGCCATTTTGTTGAATGATATAGGATGAGACCAATATTTATCTCAAACTGGTCGAAATCACTTCCATGTAAATTAACTTAAACTCAATCACCTAGATGTTTCTAGCTCATCCAGTTTGGTTATGCAATTAATACTGCATATGACCCATATGCTATTTTTAATATATCTTTCACCCAACAGAGCAGCTTTTACACCTAGATAATTAGAGGATTTGGAAAAGTAAAGCAGACAGACTACCTAAAAGGGAAGAGGGAAGAATAAGAGAGAGGCATACAGTAAAACCTGATAATAGTAGTCACAAAATTATATTTGGTCCTTGATTTCTTTTTCTTTCCTCTTTAGATCTCTTTGGCACTATTTCTAGCCCTGAATTGGGAGTATATCAAATCAGGATTGGATCTATTATCTTCCAGGTTGCTTCTGGCGACATCACTAAAGAAGAGTCTGATGTTATTGTAAACTCAACAGACAAGACATTTGTCCTCAAAAAAGGTATTTTGTTTGAATAATTTACACTAATGTAATGGTTAACACAATTATAATGTGATGTATCATGAATCTCTCATAGTAATGTAGTGTGATGTGGTACTGGCACATACTAGTAGTATATATGACTGGGCACAAGGACCCAGACTCCTGGACATAGTCCTTCTTAGATCAAGGCAAAGTATATAGCTAGGTTTCTGAGGTTCTACATTTGCCTTAGCACTCACTGTCTCATTTATGTTGCTTCTCTCTAGTGGAATATAAACTCCTCAAGGGCAGGAATTGTTTGTTTCTGATTTTTCAAAAATAATTTATATCTTTTGTTTTTGTTACATCTTTTGCATACCTTCTCTGAGCAAAACCTCTCTATAACAAAGAATGTTTTAAAGTAGAAAAAAAGTTAGCAAAACTAATAATGTTGAGAAAATCTGACATTATACGCAGTGTTCCAAACCCATGGACTCCCACTCCTCAAAGACATGGGGGGAGATGTCATCTCATATCTATTCCTTCAGGTCAAGACTGGACATTATAATTTTGTAGCACACAGTTTTGATTATTTTTTTGTTATTGTTGTCTTTTCCACTTACATTGTCATAGTCATTATATATATTGTTTCCCTGGTTCTTACTTCACTTCATATCAATTTATGTCTTTCCACGCCTCTCTGTATTTTTCATATTAATAGTTTCTTATAGCACAGTAAGATTCCATACATTTATGTACCACAGCTTGTTTAGCCAGCTCCCAATCAATGGGCATCTACTTTGTTTCTGGCCCTCTGCTATCACAAAAATTGCTGCAAGAAATATTTTCATGTTTATGCAACCTTCTTTTTTGTCCCCGACTCCCTTGGCATATATGTCTAGGAGTGAAATCTTTAGGTCAAAGGAAATAGAAATTTAAGTCAGTCAAGTTTATTTTTAAATATTATTTCAAACTACTGTCCAGAATGATTCCACCAAATGATAATCCACCAACAATGCATGAGTGTGCCTCTCTTTCTCTAGCCTTTCCAACATTGATTATTCCCACCTTCCAACACTGATTATTCCCACCTTTTGTCATCTTTATCAATTCTGAAGGGTGAGAAGAAACTTTGGCCTGACATTTTGATTATTGTAAGTGGATTCTTTCATATTTGAGTATTCTTTACCATGATTGTTGACAACTGGCATTTTTTTCTTTTGAAAACTGCCTGTTCCTATCCTTTGACCTCTAAGTTTTTGAGGAAGCTATCTCTTCAAGTTCAGTATGACTATAACAATAATAATAACTAGCATTTATGTGATACTTTAAGGTTTGCAAAACACTTTAATGTTTATGTTAATTTAGTTGATCCTCACCACCACCCTGTGAAATTGGTGCTATAACTATCCCTTTTTACAGAAAAGGAAACTGAGACCCAGAGAGGTTAAGTGATTTGTCCAGCTACTCAGTGTCTAATATAGGATTGTAGCTGAAGTTTTCATGCCTCCCAGTCCTCCATTTTATCCACTGTACCTAGCAGCCTAAAATGTTTTCTGCAAATTTGATCAGTGTTTAAAGTCATTCCCATATTTGTGCTTTTTCTTCTATAATAAGTCTGTTGCAGAGGCCAGGGAGGCCTCTTGCAGAACTCCAAAGCCTATGAGAGCTCCACCTAGTTCCCAGTATAAAATTTCCACTTGTACTTCAACAATGGCTAAATGCCAGGTGGTTGTAGCACCTAAGTTAATGTCAAATTTGTTTGCGAATGCCCCAGAATTTTATCCATCAAGTTTTACTTCTAATTATACCGATTTTTCCTATGAAGATGGATGTGATGGTTATCCTACCCTTAGAGAATATGTGCAAGAGTTTTTTTTACCACCTTACTGAACAGCGAGAAAGTTTTGAAAATGAAATTTATCAATTTGCAGAGAGTCTCAATAGCTAGGTCACTACTGATGATACTTCACAAGACCTCATGGAACTTGTCTACCAAGAGACCACAACTGTATCACACTTCTCTTTCTTAGGAGTACGGCTATGTAATTATTTGTCTTATCCTAAGTCCTTTAGTACACGAAGTGGAAATTTCCATCAGTTACTACTTACAAGATGTGGAACTGAGTACTGCAACAAAGATCAGGCTGGCAAAGGGGATGAAGCTACCAGAAAATTATTTCATTTCTTTGTAGTCTTCTTGGGTGACCTTAATCTGGAGATTAAGGGAACAAAAGGACAGGTTGCAAGAGTGGATATTCTCCAGGTTGCTCTTGGGAAATTGCTGAATGTCCTTTTTTCTAATCCCATGGACAACAATTTAATCTGTGCAGTAAAACTACTGAAGCTGACAGGATCAGTTTTGGAAGATGCATGGAAGGAAAAAGGAAAGACAGATATGGAAGAAATGATTCAGAGAATTGAAAATACTGTCCTAGATGTAAATTGCAGTAGAGATGTAAAACAGATGCTTTTGAAGCTAGTAGAACTCTGATAAAGTAACTGGGGTAGAGTTCATGCCACCTCAACATATAGAGAAGTAACGCCTGAAAATAATCCTAATTCTTTTATGTATGAACCAACATTTTATACATTTGATGGCATTCCTTTTACTGCTGCTGATCTGGATTATCAAGAAAAGTATTAGGAGTTACTTGACACGGAGAATTTTTTCCCAGATTATGAAGAAAATGAAACAGACTTCTCAGGGGCTGGAGATCCATACTTGAATGACATTATTGATGAGATGGACCCAGAAATAGAAGAAGCCTATGAAAAATTTTGCTTAGAATCAGAACATAAGAGAAAACAGTTATGTAAAACAGTATTAGTTTTACAAGACAACTTAGGCATGGTGATTGGCAAAAGAGAAGAAAGGAAGGAAACCTGTCACATTTTTACCAAATTAAGGATGATGAGTTTATGTTACTAATGTATACAACTTTAATTTTTTAAAATGAAAACTCTGGAGGAAATAATTAGAAGGGAAATATGCAGCTTATAATGGAAAATGGCAAGCTTTACTACTCAAGTAACAGACTTCATGGAAATTAGAATAGACCAAACAAAAATCAGTCATTCCATGAAATAGCAAGTATTACAATATTTTTTAATTTAAAAGGAAATATGTGATGCCTGATGTAAAAAATGACAGATCTGAAAAACAAGTCAAAAAGAGAATCACTAGACTTCCTGAAATGTATGATGAAAGAAAAATGTCTGTATTACATTTCAAGAAATCATTAAAAAGTTACCCACTTGTATTATAATCTAAGTTCAAAATAAAGATAGAAAGACTCCATTGACCTTTTCCTGAAAGAGGAAAGCACCAGGCATGCCATAGTCAAAATCTAGCATGATATAATGAAAAAAATATCACAAGCAAGCATCCAGAAAGAAGCAATTGAAGTACCAGGGGACTACAGTCAGGATCACATAAAACCTGGAAGTATCTGCTGAAAAAAAAATATAGAGTACGGAATACAATATTCCAAAAAGCAAAAGATAAGTATTTACAATAAGAATAACTTATTATGAAAATCCTATAAGGAAAAAAGTACCTTTAATGGAACAAAAGACTTTCAGGCATTTATGATGAAGTAGGATTAGATGAGTAGGATTTTTGAGATGCAAGCACCAGATTCAAGAAAAACTTAAAAAGGTAAATTCATTTGGGCAATTGGGAAGAACTATATGATGACACAGTGCTAATATTCTAATGATGGAGAAGAAACAAGTGTCTCTTCAGGAAATTAATAGCTTCAAAGAGAACCAAAGGTACAGAGGTTTGCGGTGGGCTGCTGATACTATTCTGAAGGCTTTGAGAGGAGAAAAATAATGCAGGTCAAGAGGAATATAGAAGTGTAGCTAATAGGAAGAATGGAGTGGAACTTGCTATTCCATATAAATAAGTTACATAAGATGAGAAAAAAATAGACAAATATGGAGGAAGTAGTGGGAGTGTGTGAGCATCAGATGAAACTCATGTTTATGTGAAAAGAAAAAAAGAGGGTTGAACACATTGATACAGACTTTGGGACAGAAAAGCATCCAATCCAATTGGGAAAGTGGGGGAGGGATAGTCAAGAAAGATTATAACAAGGTAGCCATAATTACATGTAAGACAAACATCCTAATCGAGGAGAGGAGAAGACAAGGTAGGGGAAAGAAAAGGAGAGGAAAATAGAAGAGAAAAAAAGATGACCTTTGAATCTTTTTTTAAGCATGTAGAGAAGGAATTTCAGAAAGAAGCATAGACAAGAAAGATAGATTTAAAAGTGATGTGTGAAATTTATCATATACTTGTTTTTTCTTAAAAAGTAAGCAATAGAAAATGAAGACTCATTACCTCTTTTTTGTATTTTTCTGTGTATATAGAAATGCTTGGGGCTTTTTTGATGATTAAGCACATAAGAAAACATTTAAACTTTTTATAACTCAATCAAGATTTGGCAAAATTATTCAATTTGAAGAGCAGAGTCAAGATGGTGGAGTGAGAGGTCCCAACTGCCAAAGTTCCCTCCAAATCTCTTCTACAATGACTATGGAAAACATGCCAAATCATGAGTGTGAAATCCAAGGAAAAGTCATGAACCATCTTTCCAACCCAGACTAGCTGAAAAAGATAGAAAGAGAGGTCCACTGATATTGAGGTTGGGACTGACCAGCAGTGCAGAACATTGGAAGCAACACCAGACAGTGGTGGTAGCATCTGGTGTGGCTGTGGCAACAATGGTGGTTGGGAACATTCCAGCATCCAGGGACAGTAAGTGCAACTGAACATCTGGACAGAAAGGAAGATGAAGGGGCTTCTCTACTAGCACTGAGCACAGGACACAGAATAATTGCTTGCATTCTCAATGAGGGGTTAGGAGATGAAAGGAAAAAGTTAATTTGGAACCCAATTTTTAAAAAAAAAAATTTAATTACTTTTAAATGTAAGTTGAAAATATTTTTGTAAAGAATTCTAGCCAAAGCTATGATCAACCATGATTCTAGAGAACTGATATTGAACCATACTACCCACCTACTGACAGAGAGGTCTCAAGATGCAGAATGAGACATAAATTTTTAGCTATGTCCAATGTGTAAATTTGTTTTGTTTGACTCTGCATGTTTGTTATAACTGTTTTATATTTCTTTTCCTTTGGATGGGACTGGTGGAAGGGATAGAAATAAGTGCTTATTAATTAAAAAAAAGAATTAAAGTAAAAAATAAATAAAATTAAGACATTGTAATGGATAATCTCTGCAGTATTTTCCACATCTGACATTATGTGATTCTTTAATTCATGTTCATCTCTATTATTATTCTCTTATCTAGGGGTTTCCAAATCCATTTTAGAAGCTGCTGGATCAGCTGTGGAATCAGAGTGTGCCACATTAGGTATGGTATTAATACTTCTGTTTTAGCCATAATCCACTGCAAGTGAAATAGCTGGTAGTAAGAAGAAGGGGATATGTGATAGGATGGAAACAAGTCAGAAACCCTTTCAGAGCTGATCTTCCATGGGAGAGGGGCCCTGAAGGTGAGATTATAATAATTTTCCTTCAAAATTTGAGCTAATGCAAGACTATAAGAAGCAACAACCACACATGGTATGATTTGAAGCAAGCACAAGATTCCCTCTGTCTCCCTCTTCCTTACCAACCTATCAAAATATCTAAAACTTTCAACATTAGAGGCTCTTCTTGGGGGTTAAGACATTATATCTACACACTGTCACCTAGAAAGGCATCACACATTACAATATTCTTAGATACTACAACAATATAAATATTTAGGTCAATATGAAGAAGCAAGAAAAATCTTATCAATTCCAACTGTCCATGTTGGTACCATAATATCAAAATTAAATAATAACAACCTTCTTTTCTCTTAACAAATCAACAAACTTAACTGGTCTGGGGGTAATGTACATTTTTTTTTGCTTTTTGGTGAGACAATGGGGTTAAGTAACTTGCCCAGGGTCACACAGCTAGTAAGTGTCAAGTGTCTGAGGTGGGATTTGAACTCAAGTCCTCCTGACTCCAAGGCCAGAGCCCTATCCACTGTACCACATAGCTGCCCTGGTAATGTACATTTAAGGGGATATGTTTGGGTGTTTGTTGGGCAGTATAGCATAAAAATTACAATCTAATTTTTTAGAATAAGTATGAAATTCTAATACAAATGATCCTAGGAGATATGTATAGTAACCAGATTACTTAGAGCTCTACCACAGCCCTGCCCATGTAGCCTCCCATGCTTTAGACTTGTCTCTTCAATCTTGAGAAGAAAGGACTTAGGAGTGGGATTTAGCATGGTCATTGTCTTCAAGTATTTGAAGTCTTACATGGAAGAGGGATGTGACATTCCATACACTTCCAGAAAGAATAACTTGGACCAATGAGAAGTTTACACCATTAGATTGTGAGCTCCTTGAGGGCAAGGGCTGTCTTGCATTTCATCATACCCAGATTATTGACTATGACTAAGATTATGGGATCATAGATTTAGACATAGTGTAAATGTTAATAGCCTTGTAGTTAGTAGTCATCTAACTCCTTCATTTTAACAGATAAATAAATGTAGACCCAGTAAGGTTAGGTGACTTGCCCAAGGTTGCACAGGTAATGGCATAACCAGTAATTGAGGCCAACTCTTCTGACTCCAAACTCATTGTTCTTTCCACTGTGTCACAGTAAAGTTACTAGAGGTTTCAGGGAAGCAAATAGATCATAAAATTATGGACTTAGACTTGGAAGGGACCTCAGAGCCCATCTAGTGCATTACCTCTTGTATTTAGGTGAGTAACATGAGGCCCAGAGAAGATAAGTGATTTGCCCAAAGTCAACAGGTGATGAGTACCAGAAGTGGGATTTGAACCTAGATCCCCTGACCTCAGAGCCAGCATTCCTTCCAGAATACCATATTGCAGCTGGCCCCCCCCCCCAAAATAAAAGAGAAATACGTTACTTTATAAGTTAGTTGGCCTTCTATCACTAGAGATATTTAAGTAGAGGGTGGATAACTATGTCAGTGATGCTTTGAAAGGTGTTTGTGCATGGGACAAAATTGTATTATATAACCCCTAAGGTGCCTTTCATCACTGAGATTCAGTAAGAATTTTAGGCAATAAATGAAGCTACACAAGTCACGATGGTTGTTTTCATGTACTCTTTTACCTAAATAAAGTATCTTATATTCTCAATTATACAAAAGTTTCAGTTGAACTAATGTTTCATACCTTTCTGTCTTCTTCCATTCTCTAGCTGTGAATCATCACAGAAATTTTATAGTAACACAAGGTGGAAATCTAAGGTGCAAGAAAATAATTCATGTTATTGGAGGAAATGATGTCAAGCAAACCATCTCTGAAGTCCTGCAGGAATGTGAACAGATGAAATATGTGTCCATTTCCCTTCCAGCCATTGGAACAGGTTTGGAGCATCCTATCAGAATTAGTTTTTTAAGTACTTAGATTCCCCTAGACTACATATCCAATAGTAAAGATAATCATTAAGGTTGAATCTATATGAGAGTGATGGCAGTGGTAGCAATCTATTTTAGGTCTTGGCAATATTTTTAAAGTCTGAGTACCATGGTGCTTGTGGGCAAGGTTGGGTTTTGCCTCTAGTCTTAAGCTGTGGATAAGCAAAAAGAAAAAGAGAGAAAGATAAACTGGTAAAGAGCAAGACTAAAGGACAGAAGATGAAGGTGGGGAAGAGAGACAGAAAAAGTGGAAAGAAAATAAATTGATCCATTTCTCTGTCTCTTTCACTATCTCTTCTTTTGCCTCCTTTCATTTTCTGTCTTCTCCCCAAGATTTAACTTCCTGGCTTTCTTCTCTTCCCTCTTTCTCTCTCACATCTTTACCCTTTAGGAGAATTAGCTCACTGATTCTCATTTTTTCAACTTCTACCTCCATGCAGATGACTTCTTAGTCAGCAACTCCAACCCTATGAACACCTTCACCCCCTAGTCTAATCTCTTCTTTATTTTTCAGACAATCCCATTTGATGCCACCTGAAAATTTTCAGGTCAAATACTAAACTTATCATTGAGTCATAGACTTTTTATAGCCAGAAGAGATTATGTAATTCTAGACTAATCTCCTAGTTTTCAGTTGAGACCTAAAGAAAATAAGCTACTTGCCTGAGATCAATTAATAATAATAATAATATCTAAAATTTATACAGTGCTTTAAGATTTTCAAAGCACTACACAAATATTATCTCATTTTGACTTCACAACAACCCTTGGAGGCAAGTGATATTATTTCCCCCATTTTTCAGCTCAGGGAACTGAGGCAAAGCGGTAATGTAATTTGCCCAAGATCATACATCTAGTAAGTTAGTCAGTGTCAGAAGTGGAATTGGAGCTCACAATTTCCTGAGGTCAAGTTGATGCACTACAACTCACAGCTAGTTAGTTTCATTTTGAGCCACCAGTAGTTCCAATTAGACTGAGTAACTTTCCAGAGATCTTTCTGTTATCCCTCCCAACAAATAGGCAGCATTTTGCTTTTTCCTGTCAATAATATCATTTTTCTTCCTTTTTTTTATGGATTACAACCATAAATGCCAGACTTTAATCCTTCTTTCTCTGCATTATATCCCCCTGGCGGTGGGTTCTGCTGATTTTTCCTGCACAATAACCTCAGATTCAGCTCTTCTTTTCAATTACCACCATGGCCATCAGCCCAGTCCCTCATCACCTCATACATGGATTACTACAGTAGTCTTTTAGTTGATCTTTCCTTCCTTCATTTTTCCCTATGTATAGTCCTAGGATAATCTTTATACTTTTGAAAAGAAGTTTATATCAAAAATAGAAATGATTTGGTATTTAATCTTTTTTTAAAAATGGAAAGTTTTTCTTTTCTATACAATAAACACTTTCCAAAGTACACACAACCCCCCAACAGAGTACATTCCTAGAAAAAGAGTTTATCAATTGTTGCCAGAAATAAGAGTATGACAGTAGGGTACTAAAGTTGACTTTATAATTGAGCAGTTTTGTGGCCTTTCCGTTTTGAATTTATTTCCTTTTTATTTGACACAGTGTATCTTGTCCTTTAGGCTCAGCTAGTTTTCCTCTGTCTCATTTCATACAAGTCTTCTCTCTGATAATAATAAATCAACTGATTATGCAAAGGCCAAGGATTTTGGAGTTGATTTCTTTGAGAGGTTGTTCTTTTTCCTCTTCTTTCTTCAAGTCTGCATGATTTTTATACAAATCTTATAGGATGAACTTGGTGAGTAAAACAGTTAAACTTTCCATCATCCACTACTTTCAAATCTCTTGCTCCCTTGTCCTGGTAACACTCGTGCCTTGTCATGAATCACTCCACCCTGAATCACTGCCATCATCTGCCTCCTTCTTTCCTCCTTACTTGCTTTTGAACTAAGCAGGAGCCTTTCACACAATTGTGCTTACCAGGTCTGCTAAAAATTTATGGTATCCAGTCTCAACAGGCACTTCACTGGAGGAAGGTAGTCTTTTCATTCCTCCTTAAAAGATTCTCTTTCCTTGAAAAATGATGTTTAGGTTCTTTTTTTGACAATGTCTTTCAGATAGTCCAATGATTTTTAAATTATCTCTCCTGGATCTATTTGCCAGGTCAGTTGTTTTTCCAATGAGATATTTGACATTGTTTTCTATTTTTTCATTCTTTTGAATTTGTTTTACAGTGCCTTGATTTCTCATAAAGTCACTAGCTCCATTCTAATTTTTAAAGGAGTATTTTCTTCAGTGAACTTTTGCACTCCCTTTTCCATTTGGCCAATTTTTCTTTTTAAGGCATTCTTCTCCTCATTGGCTTTCTGGACCTCTTTTGCCATTTGGGTTAGGCTGTTTTTTAAGGTGTTATTTTCTCCACATGCAACTGGGAAATAAGATATACAGGAAATGGGGTATAGAAATCTATCTTGCCCTACAGGAAAATTGAAGGAGAATGGTATAAGAGAAGGCGGGGAGAGATAGAAGGGAGGGCAGATTAGGAGAAGGGGTATTCAGAATGCATGCCATCTTGGGGTGGGGGGAGGAGTGAGATGGGGAGAAAATTTTGAACTCAGATCTTGTAGAAGTGAATGTTGAAAACTAAAAATTAATTAATTAAAAAAATAAAATAATGTTACATAAAATAAAATTTTAAAAAGATTCTCTTTCCCACTCATCACAGCAGCTATTCCAGAACTTGTCTTTGCTCTTTAGGCCTCTCATTGTAGCCTTTCTTCTGCCTCTGAGCTGAGTATCTCCCCTCCCACTTTATTATTTTTTAAATTTATTTTGATTTATCAATAACCTCTTCCATATGCTTTTGAGTTTAAAATTTTTCTCCCCCTTCCTCCTCACCACCCTCCCCAAGACAGCACACAATCTGATACAGGCTGTACATTTACATTCCTATTAAACATATTTTCACATTAGTGATGTAAGTAAAAATTAAAAACAATAGGAGTAACCATCATAAAGAGGAAACAAAACTCAACAGAAGAGTGAAAATAAATAACAATTCAACTTCTATAGTTCTTTCTTTGGATGTGGATAGCATTTTCCATCACAAGGCCTCTGGAGATGTCTTAGATCCTTGTATTGCTGGTAAGAGGTAAGTTTATCACTATTAGTTATCGCACAACATGGCTGTTACTGTATACAATGTTCCCCTGGTTCTGCTCACTTCACTCAGCATCAGACCATACAAGTCATTCCAGGTTTTTCTGAAGTCAGCCTGTTCATCATTTCTTATAGTACAATAGTATTCCATTGCATTCATATATCACAACTTGCTCAGCCATTCCCCAATTGATGGGCATCCTCTCAATTTCGAATTCTTTGCCACTACAAAAAGAATTGCTATGAATATTTTTGTACATGTGGGTCCTTTTCCCTTTTGTATGACCTCTTTGGGATATAGCCCTAGAAGTGCTATTGCTGGGTCAAAGGGTATGGACTCCCCTCCCACTTAACAGAGAAAATTGAGGCCAATTGCAAAGAACTCCCTCTTTTACTCTGCTCTTTCTCTGATGACTTCTTGACTTTATCTCCCACTGTTTCCTCCTTTGCTTCAGTCTCTGATAAAGATGTGATCTTCATTCCCCAGATAATAAATGGTCAGAGGAAATGAGACATCACACAAGTTTCTTCCCACTCATTTGTCAAAGTGATATTTCTAAAGCATAGGTCTGACCTCATTACTTCCCCACCTGAACTATCACACTAGTTTTCAAAGTGATCTTCCCATGTCCACCCTCTCCTCTCTTCAATCCATCTTCCACATAGCTGACCAATTGAGATTTTTAAATATCATGATCTATGATAATAATCATAGGACCATTTTGTCTCCCTGCTCAAAAAACATTAGTGGTTACTATTAACTCTAGGATAAAATACAAATCCTTCTGTTTGGCATTTAAAGCCCTTTCCATTCTAGCTTCAGGCTATCTTTCTAGAATGATTTACTCTTCTTACATTCTATGTTAATGTAACCTACTTGCTGGTTCCCACACATAACAATCTCTCTTCCACACCCTTTTACAGGCTCTTGTCTTGTCTGGCATTCTCTCCCTTACCTCTTCAGCTTTGACTTTTGGTATCCCTAGCTTCCATTAAGTCTCATTTCAAGTGATATAGTCTACCCAAGACCTTGCCAGATCCCTCTCAGCTTTAGTACTCTCCCTCCAGTTCAATTACAAAAAGGGACAGAGCTCTGAGCTTAGAGTAATGAAGAGCTGAGTTCAAATCCCACCTCAGTCTTTGTCTGCTTCAGTTTCCTTATTTATAAAATGAAAGTAATAGTAGCACCTATTTCCCAGAGATGTTGAAAGGATAAAATTAGATGATATTTGTAAGCATGTTGTAATCTCAAAATGTTATATAAATGCTACCTACTATTATTATTTGCTTTCTGTACATTCTATATTTATGTATCTATGTACTTGACATTTTCCTTGAAGACATATAAATAACTGTTTCATTTTGAAATTTGTACCTAGACCATAATAAGTGCTTGTCAGATTGTTGGATATATAGCTTCCAAAGAACCTTACACAGCTGAATGGCCAAAATGCCAATTAATATATTTATAATAATATAATATCATATAATATCTTTATAATAAAGAAATTCAAAGAAATTTTATGTTTCTTCATTAAAAAAGCAAGGAAGACATTCAACACATTGGGCATCTTCTCTTCTTCACATACATTCTAAATGGCTTTCAGAGTTCATGCAGTTAAGACAGTTTGCCTACTACCAAAAGACTACTTACCTAAAAGGGGGTGGGGCATGATATGAGCATCTGAATCCAGTGAACAGTCAAGGTCAAATTTGGATCATTCAAATTCCTGTAGCCATTCCTAATTGAACTGTAGGCTTCCTGGGGGCAAGAATTGTAGTTTCTTGTGGGACCTAGAAGAGAGGGGGCTTATTCCACAAT